TTGTTACTAGTAGCGATGCACTTGTTTCTAATTCCCCAAACAGTTTACTGTTAGGGGTTCTCAACGCTTTAAAGAATGGTCGCCTTGGTGCTGGATGGTCTGATCGGGTTCGCGACCGGCTTGTCTCCCACTTCCTTGCACTTGTTTTCCACTTCCTTTCATTTGTCTCCCACTTCCTTGCATTTGTCTTCCACTTCCTTTCATTTGTCTCCCAGGCTGGGCGCTTGTGGTCGGGTTCCGGTTCCAACAAGTTTTCGGGGGGGGGGTTAGGACGGGACTTTAATTTTTTCCTAAACAGTTTACTAAGACGTGTCCGCCCTTTCTGTCACTGCTGGTGTCCGGCCATTTCCGCTGGACATGCAGAATTTCTATTCATTTGTCTCCCAGGTTTTTATTTGCTTTTGTCTCCCAGGTTCGGTGCCTGCACTGCTGGTGTCCGCCCTTTTCCGCTGGCCATGCAGCATTTCGATTCATTTGTCTCCCATGTAATTTCTTTCCTTTTGTCTCCCAGGTTCGGTGCCTGCACTGCTGGTGTCTGCCCTTTTCTATTCATATGTTTCCCATGCGAATTCTTTACTTTTTTCGGTCACTGTGTCCGCCTTGTCTCCTTTCTGTCTCCTTTTGTTTCCCCTTCTTGTTGGTCACTGTGTCCGTCTTGTCTCCCTTGTGTCTCCTTTTGTCTCTCTTCTTGTTGGTCATTGTGTCCGCCTCGGCCTTGCAACTGTCTCCCTTGGTCTCTGGTCATGTCTCCCTTCTTGTGGGTCACCGCGGCCGGCCTTGTCTCCCTTCTGTTTCCTTTTGTCTGCCTTCTTGTCTCACTTCTTGTTGGTGGTTGTGTCCGCCTTGTCTCCCTTCTGTCTCCCTTTGTCTCCGGTCTTGTCTCCCTTAATTCTTGCTGTGTGCGGCTTGTCCCTGTTTCCTTTTGCTTCCCTTCTTGTCTGAGGCGGGCACAGCAGCCCAGATCTGGGAGAGGGGACAGACACAGCAGCTCAGAGCTGGGTGACAAACGTAAAGGATTGCAAAGGACTGCAAGGCAGAGGTGCAGCTGAGAGACCAGAGGCGGACGGAGCAGTCCAGCGCCAATGTCATGGAAAGGATTCTTGTTGGTCATTGTGTCCGCCTTGTCTCCCTTCTGTCTTCCTTTGTCCTCTGCTGTGTTGCAGTCCGTTACATGTCTCCCAGCTCCGGACTGCTGTGTCCACCTCTCGCTTGCAATCCTTTACACTTGTCTCCCAGTTCTGGGCTGCTGTGTCTGCCCCTCGCTTGCAATTCTTACATTTGTCTTCCAGCTCGTTGCTGTGTCCATCTGGGCTGCTGTGAATCCTTTACATTTGCCTCCCACCGCTGGGCTGCTGTATCCGCCTCTGCCTTGCAATCCTTAAATTTACATTTGTCTCCCAGCTCTGCTCTGACTGCCGTGTCCGCCTCTGCCTTGCAATCCTGTACATTTGTCCTTGCAATCCTTTGCGTTTGTCTCCCAGCTCTTTTTCTGCTGTGTCCGCCCCTGCTTTGCAATCCTTTGTCTCCCAGCTCTGGACGTCGCAAGCTCTAGTTGCAGAGCGTTCGGATTGGGCAAAGCACAGACTTTGGGGTCTACGGTGGTGTGATAGCGTCTTGTTACTATATTCCTTGGAAGCTATGGCTAAGTGTGAATTTCTCAAATATTGTCTGTGGTTGGCTGTCCAGTTCTCGTGCTCCTTTGTTTTGAGAAACACCTTCGCCACCCATTTTCTGCCGCAACCCTACTTCGTCCCTGGTTCTATCGCCTTCTGGCACCAAGTGCACCGTGAGCTGCTGCCATGGAACAGTCTTTGGCCTCGGCACTGGGCTCTGGTCTTGATGCACCGTGCTACTTGGTACCGACTCCAGCTCGGTACGATCAGACCGGCTGTGGGTCACAGGATAAGGCTTAAGGGTAGGTCAGGACCTACGAAGGTCGTTTGGTAGAGGGCTCCAGCTTCTGACCTCCATTTCAACTGTGGGTCCAACCGTCTAACCTGCAAACCGTCTAACCCCTCATGTCAACGACGCCACGCAAAGGCGCACGGCGCACCCGACACCGTGCTGCCGCCGACGGTGTCGGCGCCCACCGCGCGCCGATGACCGCCACCCAGGTGCTCGATGGCCGTGAGCCCCGGGAAGGAGCGCAAGAAGTCGAAGAGCGAGGCCTCCTCCACCTGAGTCGAAGTTTACACGGTTTGACCGACCGGAGAGGCCAAGGGAAAATCGAAATGGCCTCCAACCCGATGGAGTTCATCTCAACTTCACAAATGGCCTCTCCTGTCTGCTTCATGTCGTCTGAACGATTCTCGAGACCCTTCGCAGCATCGAATTCACCGACTCAGCGCCTCAGTGAAAGGATCCGCCGGATGTGCCAGTCGCCAGGCCTCGTGTAGCGACCCTTCAACCGCTCGACCCTTCCACGGGTTTTCTGCCTCCCCTTTTGGCATGTGCACTGTAAGCAGCGGTTTTGATTTGCTTTCATGGGTTTATGTTTGGGATATGCTGGCTATTCAGTCACTTGCCTCTTTGCCGTTCATTCTAAATCTTTTCTCCAATTTTTTTTGGTAACCCATCCACCGCAATTGCTGTGCGCACTCACAGCACTGCTGGTCTGAATATGTGTCTTGAAATATGATCGAGTACTCTAGGACTCCATATGACTCCATATATGACTACCAGGCTTCATTTTGGAGCCGCCATTTACTCAAAATCAAACCATTATATCCATGTTCCATCCATGTTCCCTATGCCGCCTATCCTTCGGACCACTAATAAATTGGCCTCGCCGAGCGACCAAGACTTCCACTGCCCAGTGCCGCTGTCCGCTCTCGCGCATGGAACTCTTCATCGCAACGGGGGCACATTGGAGGACCGCGTTCCGGTAGCCCGCCTCGGAGGCCGATCGGCTGATAGGCACGGAGAGAAGGGTCGCAGGTCACACGCGTGAAGAAGAGTTCCAATCCTGTCCTGTCGCCAGTGATTGCGATTTGGTCTTGATCTGTTGCAAGTCCTTGACGTGTTGCTGGTCATACCGCTTGCAGTCCCTGCTGCTTTCTGCGGGAGTGCGTGATCCCTTTTGCCGCCAGGATTGGTCGCGTTCTGTAGGCTTTTCACGGATTTGTTGAGCCATCCAAGTGGCCGAAAGCTGCCGGCTGTCGACAATCTCTGGATGAAAGGCCCAGATCAAAGCACAACCTTTTGCACATCTGGGCATGGTGGAGTTGGTTTCATTGTGTTTTTTTAATGTGTTGCCTGAAGGCTGACGACATGCTGATGACATTGAAAAATACCGTATCAAGTTTTTTCCAATGCAAAACAAAAAAGACATGAGAGTTAGTTCACCGTAAACACAGGAATAGCCTGGAAGTAACACCTGTACTGCCTGTACTTGATGCAGTGAGCTCAATTTGCTTCAATTTGGAAGCTTCACAAGTTGAATGTGCAGAAACGGCAGTGGGTCAAAACCTCCACCAAACCATGGAGGCTTGCCCATCCCTGGTGATCTTTCTTGATTCATTTGGCGTGGTCAACCAAGGTCCCCCGGACCACATGACGACTTGTGAGTGAGGGCTCCATGGACTGAACATGGACCGTTTGGACCTTCTCCAAGGAACAAATGAATTGATCCGCTCGCTGTTCATCCGCCGCCGCAGCTGCTCAACACTCAGCTGCGGCCACCAAGTGCGTCTCCTCGCAAGACCAGGCCGAAGCAAGTGCCGGTGGCACGAGTTGCTCGGTCGCAGGTTCAGGTCGTCCGGATCTCAGAGTGGATGCAGTTGTCCGGTCTGTCCGGCATCTTGTTGAGCTGTGGCTCTGATAAATCACTTGACGAACACGAAAGAAACTATGTCGGATAACTTACCCATTGACCTGTCACTGAGTGGTGAATGATTTGATGTTCAGCATCGGTCGTCACTTGGACAGTTCCCGGAACGGGCGTTGACTCCGCGCTTGCGACCCCCGGTGCCGTCCGTGGCGGCCTGGCAAGTTCGAAGTCGGCCCAAACTTCTGGGAGCCGCTCCAGCTGCAGATTCGCTTGCGCGCGCCGTGCAAGCCTCTGCAGATTCGCTTGCGTCCTTCTGCTATTTTAAGTGTTTTGCTTGGGGGAGGTGTTGGGAAGGCGGAGACTGAAGGGAGTAATCGGGAACTGGACTTATCCTTGTTTGTTTTATCAAACCAACGAGTCGGAGAATACAGGATAATAGGTCAATGTTCGTCAGAGAATTATATGGTTATATATGATTTATACTGTTTTATAGTTACTTAAAAATACTTGCTGAACAATTAGCCTGGATGTCACTCCAACTTTGGATGTTCAAGTTTCATTGGGTTGCCATCACTCCACCCATCGCCAGGAAACAGCAGGGCTGGCAAGGGCTCGCCAGCAGCCAAGCAAAGGCTGACCTCGGAGGTCAAGCAAGGCTTCTGTCAATCAGGTGCCAGTTTTGTTCTGCTACAGCATGTGCCCATAAAGATCATCAAGTCGACATATGAAAGTAATTATACCCTGAATAAAGCTAAGCAAACCCCAAAACAGATTTATAATGATTTATAAATACACCCTAAACAAGCTAACAGTTTTCACCCCTGGACCTATGATATACTCGAGGACAAATTCTACTAAACCCAGGGGGGGCCATTTACTACTCAGAGTCTCAGATGTGGACAAATTGTCATTACTTTCATGTTAAAATTGCTACTCAGGTATTGCCAGAAGGGTCTGGCCGTGACTGGTTTAAAGTCTAAACAAGTTGGGACAAGAAGAATGCGAACGAACTGATACCAGTGAAGCTTGCAACTGCCAATTGAGCTTGTCGATGGGCGTGGCAAATCAGAGTCACAGCGTGTTGTCCTTGTTGATCTTGAGTCTGAAACCTCTGTTTGGGCTAACCTCCTAATGCAAACTCCAAAACAGCATACAGCTTGTGCAATGTACCACCTTGGGTCACTAAGAAACGGATCGCACCCCACAGCCTTCACTTCTGTGCAACCGGGCGACGGCGAGGTCGAAGTCCCGCGCAGCGGCTGGAGCTTCGCCCAGCCGCAAAAGCACCACTCCGCGGTTGAAGGCGTGGACTGGGTTGCCTGGCGACGGGGGTGGATGACATGGTTGGGGGAACGGATTGCAATTATTCGTGTAGAATAGTTTAGACTTGAAACTTGTTTGCCACAAAGAATGGAATCACAGAGAATCACTGCCGAAGCATACATTCACTTGAATTAATTATATACCAAATATACGCACCGAGTGGTGGATCAAGGATATACAAGGCTCACATCTGTGGTCAGGATATGTTATATAGGATACTTCCAAAAAGGTCAGTGATGTTAACTTGTAGTGCCTAAATTTCACTAGGGCACATCCTGATTTCATTGTTTGTTGCAGCTCCATGATTCCCGAATAATATGGTCTGCCGCCTACCATGATACATGGATACATGAAGGATTCTTGAAGTTGCCTTGCATGTCCTTGCATGATGTTTCTCATGCGATCGTGACCCTCCATCACTCTGCAAGGACGCCGGTGGAACCCACATCAGACGCAGTGCACTTGGCCTCGGCAAAAGAGCTGTGCAGTCCAGCGATGTTGCCGTGGAAAATGGCGAGGCATCCAGTGATTGGGGTGGTTATGTCTATTTTTCCTGGCAGACTTTGCTGAATCACGTATCTTGCTTCAACAGCTCCTGATTTTGACAGTCGTTTTATTGATCACCAAAACACATTCGTCCAAACCCGCACCGACGGGTTTCCGCCGGGCGGCAAAGAGGGCCGCTGCATTCTCCAGAAAGCCCAGGAGCTCCAAGCAGCACGCCAAACACCAAATCAAGAGCCTTGGTCCAGCTATGATGCGTCCCTCCAAAGAACCCAGCCAACTCTCCCAGATCCGATCCGTTAGACTCATTAGACTATATATAGGGTCTAGATTCTGGAGACAAAAGAGCTCCGACCGAATGAGGATTCATGTGGATTCAGAGTCAGCTCGTTTTACCAAGTACATCCAAGTACCAATCCAAAGTCTTCAACAAGAAAAGACTGAACCCACTCACTTGCCCAGCGCTAGGATGAAGAAGACAACAAAAGGGCAAAGAAAACAAACACAAAAGTCTTCTCAATGGTGCCTTGTTTGAAAACAGTGTTTTTTTAAATGTGTTTTTTCCAAAAATTGTCAGATCCTTTGCACAGGACTGCTGAAGCCCTCCAGGCGCAATTGTTCCTATCCCACGCAAGCCAAAAACTTGAGACCCCATGTCCAATTCATGCGCCTCCGGAGAAAAAGGTGCAATTCCTTTGTGACTTCCACAAAAATGACCAAACACACATAGAAAACACACAAAACACGTGTTTTGGCTCGCTCCAAAACACGCCACGTGACACGCCTAAACACACGGCCCAAGCGACAGGTGCCGCGTCTCCGGCGTGCCGGAGCCCACTAAGGCCACTTCCAGGTCTGCCTGGACTTCGCATCGATTCGTGTCCTTACAGGGGAGGATGGATCGGTGTTGTTTTTTTCCGACCTAAGTATCACTTGGGAATTCTAATTACTGCTATATTATATATAATATATACTACATCACAGTGGTTTCAGAGTGGCACAACTTGGGAAGTTTTGTTGTGCAATATGGACCCCCATCTAAAAGACATCTTGATCATCTTGAGGTCTGCGCCATCTACTCTGACACCACTGTAAATTCATTGGATTTACTGTGACTCGTGACTAAATTATAGTTGCGTGATGTTGTGTGAGCGTGTGTGTGTTTCTCTTTAATGGGCAATGAAAAGCAATGGGGAGCACCGGGAAAACTAGGGAATGTCAAGAAATCAAAGGGGACGCTGCGGAATAGCCCCGGTGAACATCATCTCTTTGCACAATAGAAGCATCTGCGTGGGTTTCAAACTTGGCTATCACCCAAACTCACTCTTGAGTTCTTTGTGGTGGACATGACCGCGGCCCCTCGTGGTGACAGTTGTAGAAACCCTTGTGATTTCTCATGTAGAGTAGATCGAGTCAAATGTTCATGAGTTTGAGCAGCAACAACAAGAAGTGGAATTTTGCCTGGATGTACCTGTAATTAAGTAAAGCAGGTCTCCCAAAGACGTCTCGTTTCAAGTTCTACTCACTCTCGGCGTCCCGGTGAGGTCTGCCCTCGGCCTGCGGCTCGGCTAAGGCTTGGCGCAAGCGCAAAGCCGTTGGTCGGCAGGGATGCAACCTTGTCCCGCTTGACGCCGTGGGGGACGCCGTGGAAGAGAAAAGGGTGCAGTTTTTAAATGACTCATCTTGAAACGCGATCTCAGATTTTATAGCATCAGCGGAGCGTCTTGATGAGTCTTGAGGTGTTTCAACCATTGGTTGGGCAGTCGTCTACCCATACCCCCACTTAGAAGAAGTTGATGTTCTGCTCTTAACGCGCCCGGTGTGGTGCTGTCCAAGGGTCGGGATGGGCGGACAGCAGCTCCAACCTGAGCGCCGGCCGATTTTTCCCGCCGATCGCGTTTCTGGAGATTTTGGCACCAGAATCGAAGGTCGACCAGTCAGAAAATTGTTTGTCTGTGCATGTTTTTGCTGCTACATGTTGAAAACATCTTTTCTGTGAGGCTTCTTGTTTGTAAGCCAATCCCGCACCGACTGGGTGGTTGACAGGGTTAATTGGGTTTGCAGATCTCTCATCCCCCATGGCCTTACCTTAAAGTTCAAAAGCTCACAAGACCAATTCAAGCAGCCTAATGCCATCCAACACATTCCCTTTTTGGGGGTGGATCTTTCAGCCAGACTGACTGCGCTGGCCAAGCTGCATATGCCAATCTTGGATCCCTGTAAGTGCTTGGGATGTTTCAGGATAACTTGGGCAAGGATCTAGAACCTATATACAGTAGATGGGCCTTTTGAGAGGCAAGACATGTGTCGGTAGCAAGCGGAATCGTACTGTCCACACGCTCTTTTCACTGCGAAAGCGAGCACGGTATAGCTCAAGGGCCCTAGGAGCCAAACGGCGGCAGACACAACATAGTGTGACAACCTGGCTCAACAGAATGAGATCCTACCTCAAATTCACACTCAACCTGTTCTACAGGTGTCACACGGCTATACATTGAAACTCTTGTGTCTTCCTAAGGCATTGGAGAAATCTACTTCTGCTTCTGTACAGTGTAGTGGCACTCCCTCAGCACTCGAAGTAGCAGATCTGGTTTCATGGACTTCGTTAGACAGTCCGACACCATCGTACTGGTGGCAATCCAGATCAACTTGTCTCCTCCACTCTCGAAAGCAATCCATGTTGGTCTTCCTTCTTGCCACAAATTCTCATGGATTCCTTGCAACTCGATACCAAGGCGCTTGTCACTCACCTTGGCCAGGACTTCCTGATTGAGGTGGTCAGAAAGCGAACGGCAATCAGTCATCGCCAAATGCGGAATGCATTCACGGGCATCATCTTCCCATGTCTTCAAACTGCGAATCTTGCCCTTGATCTCCGCAATCACACCTCTCAGCTTGTCACCTGTCTCGAGTCCGTTCTGGAGGGAATACGTTTCGGCCTGGAGAGTGCTGCGGCAGACTCTCTTAATTGTCGTGGATCCAAAAGACAGTGGCATCACCTTATAGGTGGTCGTCTTGTCATCCTTGATCTCCTTGAGATCACCCAGAAAATGGATCCTGCCCTGTTGCGACTTGTAGTTCTTCTCGTTGGAGAAGGAGGCGTCTGTGACCGTGATCACACCAACTTCACTCCATTGGAGATGAGCCGCGGGAAAACACAATGCCACATCGTGACCTTTGTGTGCCAGGACAACGACTGCGTTAGCGTCTGCCAACGTGGACACAGTTGCATCTTTAATGCCAGACTGCAAACGGCTTACCCTGTAACCAAGGTCAGGCCTGGTCTGTCTCGAGATCCAGGCGAGCGATCCGGTGATCGATCTGAGCTTCGTGATGTCTCCTTGCTGAAGACGCTCACTGCCTAGCCTAGATCCAACATCTGCTCCATGAATCTTCCTAGTGTTATCTGCTGTGTCGACTTTGATGACCTTGTCATCTCCTCGCACGAACTGCTTCCCACAATATCGAAAGCTGTTAGTGTCTGAGCTGCCGACACTGAACTTGGCAAGAAAAGACTTCATCACTTCCTCGCCTTCCGGAAGAAAACTATAAAGCAAGTCGTCCACGTGAGTGCACATGAGGGCACAAGCATCTCCTCCCTGCTCACCTGGGAGGTAGTACAATCCTGGGAAAAACTGGCTTGCCTTCAGGCCGCTCTTACGTGCATCGGCATCCAAACGCAACCAAAAGCCTCTTCCTGAGTCCGTGATTCCGTATACAGGGACCCTCACGAGAAAAAGGACATTGGGTTCTACACCTGGCAAACCTCCTCTTGGCTGACGCATGAGAAGGACGCGATCCAATGGTCGTCCCTGGAAATACGCCGAGGTGATATCAGCTGAATGGATGTCGGCCTGATGACAGGCTGCCCAACTACAGACGAGACAGTGCATCTCGACATCGGCCGTTGGACTATCTGACCTCAAACCCTCTGTCATTTCAAAGTTCCCGCACGAAACTAGTCTGCTTTTATACATGGGCTTGTAGTCAGGATCTCTCCCCTTCTTGTACTCTGCCTTGTCTACATCCACCCATTTGGATGGAATGCATTGGTGCCCTTCGTCAATGAGCTCTTGCGCTTGTTCTGGGGTCAATGCCACTACTGCTCCGAAATCTTCAAATTTGGACCATTCCTTTTGCCTTGTTTCCTGCAGGGCCTTCTGCACTTCTGGGGGCGCAGATTCATAGTGAATGCTCTTTAGAACCTTCTTACCTAGCTCTGCTTCATCCTCAGTCTGGGCAAGAAAACTAGTCCACATGGCATGTGCTTCTTCTCGATCTTGCTCTGGTAGCTCTCCGTCTCTCTGGCGTGCTCTCTCGAAATGTTCTCGAAGAGAAGCTGGCAAGTCGTTCAAATGATCATACACATGAGGCCATGCATGCGGAGCACTCGTGGATTCCCTGCGGGATGGTTGCAATGAAGTACCGCGTTCACTCTCCGGTTCGGCGACACGGGGCCTCACATTGCGACTACGCTCATTTCCTGTGTCAGGGAACGGACGTGAAACGGAGCTAGCGGACCTACTCAACTCTTCAAGCGCATCTTCACCTTCGGATTGGTCTTCATCAAAGAAATCCGGTCTGATCCCTACATCTAACTCATCATCTTCTGGAACAGGGGGTAGTGAACCAGGATCCGGAAATTGGGGTTCGGTTTCTTGAGATTCGATGTGTATTGGGGATCCGGGTTCGCTCGGATCTGCACGTGCATCAAGGAAAGACTGCTGAACACCTTCCTTGACAACGTTTTCGGGAAAAACAGGCTCACCATGCAAAACAGCATGAGCTAGTGCTTCGGTCGGAGTAGCAATCTTCACGTTTTGGTTGGCGACCAACACTGGAACATTTCCACACAACAACCACAAATTCCTTTCACCTTCATGGCCTATCACCCGACTAGTGGGACTCCATGTGGTGCCCCCCTTTTGATTGTCTCGACGAAAGGTCACTAAATCACCTACTGCATACTCCCGAGGAAGACTGGAAGCATTGCGAGTAAGCGCACGGGACACCCTTGACGAACAATCTAGGTGAACAAATGCTTTCTGGGCTTCCTGTCTGGCCGTGTGCTGTAAGGCGAAAATGCTCTCTGGGTTGTGACGGGCTTCAATAGCTCCAAGCTCGGCGAACCGTTCTTCAGACAATGGACTCGGATCCGATCGGGGTCCTTTTCCAAGTACCCATTGACTAGGTGAGAAACCTCCGACTCTACTAGAGTTGTTCTTGGTAGCTACTACCTCGAGCAGTACCTGCTCAACCTGTTCTCTGCCAATAGCGCCTGTCTCTTTGCAAACCTTCCTAAAGAGTGACTTGACAATGCCTCCATGACGTTCTACACGACCAAGATTCTCCGGGCTTTCCAGAGGAGTGTGGTACACTTGGATTCCATGTTCATCCATGTACTTCTTCATGACACCTCGGTTGTGCAGACCTCTGTCACGTGCAATGTTCACAGGATGGCCACACCATGAGAACCAACGCTTCCTCAGTGCTTTCAGACATTCGGCAGAAGACGGTTGACCGGCACCAAAACGAACAACCTCACATAGCTGAAAAGTAGTACCCAAACAAACCATGTTCAACACTTGGAACTTGTCACCTGAAATGTCGTGAACTTCAAACACATCAATTCCTACAGTGTGGTTGAACGAGTAGTTGTTAGGCAATGCTGTCTTGTGCGTGGCCTTCTTCTGGGATGTTGCTTCACAAGTTTCGCATCTGTGGATCCTGACAGCATCAATGAATTCCTTTCGAACCTTTGCTGCACGAAGGAGATGGATCATCGTCTGCTTGGGGACGTGTCCAAATTGCCTATGCAATCTTCTCACACCAATCCTCACACGTGCAGGCAACTTGCGCCACATCCGGCGTCGTTCGGCTTCATCTGCTGGCAGGCCTGGGATGTCTACTTCATCGACCAGTGTCTCTTCCGAGATCAGGTCTTCTACTGGGTTCACCTGAGCACGGTCATCATCATCCCAGATGGCATCGAACTGCTGTTCATCGTCCATCACCTCTTCCTGCAGTTCACCAACAAATGCAATAGACATCTCATCATCCAAAGTTGTATCATTGGTCCATTCACCTAACCAATCAACAAACTGCCAAGACAAGACATAATTCATGGTCTGTCCTCGAAACCACGATTCGAAAAGCTCAGTCCACTTAGGATCATTGCAGGTGAATGCCAAGTCATGGTCGTTGATATGGGGAATCTGTGGAAACTCATGTCCCTCCCATCTCGGGGTAGTTGCGACGTCAATGTGCAAAAACCAGCTACCACTCATGTCACAATGGGATTCTACTTCACCCAAAATCTTGCCATGTCTCAAAGGATCTGTACTCTGTTCATACTCGATGGCAATGACGATGTTCTTATAGTCTTGCAAAACATCATACCAAATCTTGGAGTCCTCCTCAGGATTGAGGTACTCAGCTCCCACACCGACGTCAAAAACGTCTGCAACACCATCTGCTGCTTGAAGCTCCTGAAAGATGCGGGGATGCGAAGTAATGACCAAGGTTGGAGGCTCAGAAACTGGGACGTCTTTCAGACCAATGCTGGATTTGACCAAAGCATCTTGATGGTTCAATCGGTCAATGCCCTCCAAGACTGCCCTCCTATGCTTCTTACCCATGGTGGTTCTCTCATTGGGGTCAATCTGTAATGGAATGGACAAGACTCCTGAACTACTTGGCTGTGCATTGGGATCTGGAGGGACTTCCGAATCGGTTTCATTGCTATCTTCCAAGTTGATCTCAACCTGTTCTCTCCTATCGAGGTCCCATGCCATATGTGCTACTGGCTCGTAACTTGCGGGCTCAGTGGATGCGGGACTGGTTGGCGATTGTGGCTCAGACTCTG